TTGCAATCTTTCACGATTGTTATTATTATTATTTTTGCACTATGATACAATACAATAAATACGTAATAAACATTCTTCAATACAATGCACGTTCATTTTCTAGCTGAATGAAAATTATCGAAATTTCAAATCGAGAAATGGGGGGTCCCTAAAATGCATTGAATTTTGTGTGAAATTACAGCAGTAATTAATTTTTCATACAATATAGTTAAATTTTTTTGTTACCACTTTGTCTTCGGTACTTTAATTAAAAAAAATACGGGAAAACCGTCTTGCAAAAATACCCTTATTTCGCCTTGTCATTAACTGAAGCGGTAAAAATTGTTAAGGGACCGTTTAAGTTGGGAAATAAGCGCAATACGGGTTTCTCGTAATCAGGTCTGTATATGGCGTGTACGCATATATGTGGCAAATACTTGTTTTTTAAGGACTTTTGCTAGTTGGGAACATGTAATCGTTTTTGACCATCTGCATGGACAAATTATCTATACGACGGTTTTTGTTTAGTGGAATTCCGCCTAGATGAGTCAGCGAAAGTGGGATTGCGGCTTTATACATATTCTCTATATAATCGCAGACAATGAATTTTTCTAATTGCCCACAATGCGTTTTAATAACCCCAAAACGAATGTATAGCTCGTCATTTATATTTGGTTCTTTGAGACAGTATATTAATGCAAAATACCAAAAATTTCCGGGAAAAATTACATTTACAGTTTTTTTAACTTCGAATAAAGGGATTACTACATATTTCCAAATAGTCAATTTCAGTTGCATTTGTTTGACAAGTTCTCATTTAATGAAGACTGAAGTACCACCAAACATTTTTCAGCAGAAGCTAATTTATCCCTTAAAAAAAATAAATATAAAAAAATGTTTAGTAATTTTCCATGTGTAAACCTATTCTTTACTATGATATGATATCAGGACAGCCATTGTTTTTATAATATGTGTTATTAATGTCAGTGTTGCCAATTTAGGGGATTTATCCCCAAATTGGGGATTTTTGTTTGGAAATGGGGATTAGTTTTTGGGTTTGTGGATTTTGAGGAGGATATAAAATTGTAGTTTTGATCCGTAACGTAAATAATTATAAAACGTTGTCCACCTAACTTGAGTTTATATTATTTTTGGAAGAAAGTTAATTAATCTCAGGGTGCTGTTGGGTCAAAACTATTTGAAGGACTATCAGGACTAATATTAAATATGATTTGTGAACCAATAAGCAATTCTCGCGTTGAACACGTTTTTTTCCATTATTAATATAGTTTGAAATGAAATGCAATATGAATTATTTGAAGCACCTTTAGGAATTAACACGATGTGAAAATTTAAATCCTTCTCCTCAAGTGGTTTAACTTATGTTTTTTTTTTTAATTTCATAAATCTCTTAATGACCTGTTTTGTATTTTATTTTTTAATATGAATACTTCGAAAAATGTATTGACTTTTAAAAACAATTGTTCCTTTTAAATGTTTTTTAACATTTTCAAAATTATAAAGTAAAAATTTAAAACAATTTCTATTCATTGTAGCTTGTTGTAGGTTCCAGAGCAGAACTAATTTAAACATATAGGCGATTTTTTTGGATGATAAATCACATGGGGATTTGAGTTAGAAAAAACTGGCAACGCTGATTAGTATTGACGTTTTCTTAATGTCTTATATATGTATACATTTTTTGAATAGTTGCATAAATGGGGAAACACATACGAGGATTCAGGCTTGGCATGTTAAATTGACGTTGTATGAAATGTCAATTCATAACGGAATATAAAATTCAAACTTGATTTTCGGCGTTATCTTCTATTCTTTTACAATAAAAAATCCAATTTAAAATGCTGTGCTTGAAGTCCTTTTATGTCCTTTAAATCTAAGCGTAAATGTTTTTGAGGAGCAATTAGAACTACACAATCAATTTAAAAATATATAAAGTCCGAATACAATTCATCAAAACTTGCAACATGTCACAACAAAAATGTCAATAAAACATTTTTACCATGGTACAAAATACACATCTACCTTATGGGCGATAATGCCAGAATAAATGAAAACAATTGCAACAAGTCGTTCTGTTCATTTGACATATTTTTAATATTTTACCAAAAACGCGAAAAATTAATGAAATATAAGGTTTTATTGTCAAAATCGAGTTGGGGATATGATTTACATGTTGATTTATTCACAAATCATACATTTCTTCTAATAAATGTTGTAAAATTCGTCTTCAAATCGATTTTTTGTTATATTTTTCAAAACATTACACACACAGTCACACATTTTGTATATGACATGAAAAATTTTAATTTTTATGTTGCTCATGGCATAATTATACAAGGTAGTCTCATGCAGTCATATGTTTCCAATTTGTTCATAAATTTGCCTTTGACAGTATTCATATAATTTAAAATTGATAGACGAGTTCTAAATTAAAAGGGGTTGCCATCATAAAATTCCCAAATGAGACTACCTTCTGTAATTATGCCATGTAAGTTGCTATGGCCTACCTTGAATAATTTTACCATGATTTTTACTATTTTTTGATATCCTAGTTATTTTATTTTTCCTCACGTATTACATTTCGGAGATATTCTAAATTTAGTGGACCAGAACTTTTAGGGAATAATGTATAAGGTTACGCAGAAAGATGCATGAGAGGGTCCTCTTTCAATCCAATACACCTTCTTCATAATTTATTATAGAGCGAAAATGTGTGTTTCTTGTACCGTTTTTTCATGTCCGTCTTACATTTCTACTTTAATTTTAAACATACGACAATTTTTGATATTTTTCATACGTTACGTTAATTTGGCATATTTTGCCATAATGTCAAATTTTGCCTACATTTCTTGTACTTTACTGTAACTTTTATGTATAAAATCTATAGATCGATTTTCTTTTGGCTTCAACAAATGTAACTCTGAATAAATTTGAAGATAAATTTACTGGAGCTAATTCTGGCCACAAACAACCAATTAGAAAAGACATGCGTTAAGCAAATATGGAGTTATTTGCACAAATCGAATACATTATGAGAAAGATTTTATATTTTCAAAAGAACCGTATACAAAAACTTAACCTGTTTAAGGTAGTAAATATCGTTGGCATATGATATGGTCACCTCTACATACAACGTTTTCCAAGTCTAAAAATGTTTGCGGTCGAAAACCAAATATAGTTTGGATACAAACTATATTACTTACAGTGACGAGCAGAAATGAGTACATGTTTGTACATTGGACACTTTTTACGTCATAAAAATAAAAATATAAAAGCAAATTACAAAATTTTGGTTGTATTTTATAACGTATTTCGTACCTAACAAATCAACATAAAGTCAAAAAATTTAACTCTTTAATTTCTAAGAAAAAAACAGAGAAAAGTAAATCAACTCCAATGTACTCACTTTTGAACAAATTTGCAGAATTTGAATATTTTTATTAATTATACTGTAGTTTTATATTTTTAATGTGTCATTTATGAAATTTGACATATTTTCAACCAATTTTAGTACAGTTTCATTGGAAATATCCTTCCAATCACCTCAGATCCAATACCAAAGTTCGTCTAAATTATTAGGGGCTGATTGGTACTGTCCCACCTCTCTCTTTGCCATTGGCCCCAAATTATCGTTCGGATTGATGTCGAAACTTTGTACTGATCACTGTGTTAATTCAAAATTTTGCTCACGAAGATATTCTCTCACGAATTTTGACGTATATCTTTGATCACCGTCCTGCAATAATAACTTCTTCTACAGAATAGGCGTACTTAGCTACCTAAACTGACTGATATGACTCTACAACGATCTAAATAGACTTCTTTCATTATTATATTGTCAATTTTTTTAACATCGGTCATGGCAATTCCTCAACCGAGATTCACATTGGGCCTTTGAATTAGTTTTCATCACGGATTGAAAACGGTTGAATGTGGATTCGTCGGACCCGACCACACGTTTCCAGTTGACCACAGTTCAACTTTTGTTCTAGTTGAAAAGTCTTTACCTTTATTTTGCAGTTTTTTTCCTATAATACAGGGTTTTAGTCTTTTTTTAATACTGCTATATCCAATAACGGGTAGGGCTCTTCACTCCGTTCAATGACTAACAGGTTTGACGAGTACTTATGAATTAGATTTTGGCGTTAAAACTTATCAAATTACATTTCCCTTATCATTAGACGTGGGTCCACACAACTTATAAGCGGTGTACGACCTCTAATTTGAGGTTTGGGAACAACGGAACACCGTTTTTGTACCCATATGACCAGATTTTTCCGAATGTCCTCTTCAGTGGTTTTTATATATATTTCTGCTTGATTTATTATTATTAGTTATTTATTTGATTTTTGTTCAAAACTTTGTACAATTTTTTAGTAAACGGGACTTAAATGATGTAAAACTTATATATTTTCTTAAAAAACTAATGAAAACCAAAAAAAGATTTAAAAAACGTAATTTCACATTCCTTTTCTGCACATTATTAAAAAAAAATGCAGACGTGCAAAAGTGAGTACATTGGGGTTGATTTCGTTATCTTTATTTTTTCTTAGTTATTTTTAAGAGTTAGATTTTTAATTTTAGGTTGTTTTGTTAAGTACCTAATACCCAATAAAATGCAACCAACATTTTTGAAATAGCTTTTTTAGTTTTATTTTTATGACGTAAAAAGTGTCCAAAAAGCAAACATGTACTTGTTTCTGCTCGCCACTGTATATATCAATGAAGGCATATAGCGAAATATTGTGTAAATTATTGATATTTATTGCAAATGGGCAAGTACACATTATACAAGTACAAGAAAAAGGTAAGTCCCTAGCCATGGGAGAATTTCAAAAACAGTAAATTCAAATATTTCTTTTTTTGCTGCAGAAGTATTACCTTCCTTCTTTTAAACCTATGATGGTTGCATACATTAGAGGTATTATAATTGCACATTAAAAATGTCAGATTAAAACACATATATACGTATCTATATATAATTCTTCAATTTTTTTTACCTCATTGACTTTATTTGTGTCGGTTTCTTGATTCAATTTCTACGTTAACGAGAAAACCATATTTTTATGAAATAGTACAAGTATGTTAATCTTTATATTATATATATAATAACTCATAGCACCATACCTCCGGAACAACAATAACGGGTTTTAAGGTAGCTGAATCTTTCTGTGTTGTATCGTCTTCTAATTTACCCTTACCGGCAGTGAATCCCTTATGGGAATCCACCGTATTTACTTCTAGTTTTTGTTCCTGTAAAAAAGTATACCAAATAAAACTTGTGATGTTTATTTTTATCTTATTATATTAAAGATATGTTTTAAGCTTTCATGTAAACCACATTATACCATAGAAGATTTGACAGATTAATACCTTAGACAATTTTGGGGCATCAGCTATTTCTTTTGTTTTCTTTGCAGATTCCAATATTGGCTTCTCCATCTTACTAGGAATATTGGTTTCCCGACTAAAGTCTGACGCCTCAAATTCTGGTTTTTCAAACTTTTCAAGCTGAGGACGTTCATAATCAGGAATTTCTGGAAGTTCTTCATACTTTGATTTGGGTTTAGGCTTAGTCTTTGTCTTAGCTTTAGTTTGTTCTTGTTTAGGCTCTTCTTTCACTTGAGGAGTTTTCTTTAATTTCGGAAACTCTTCAGCAGGCTTAGGCTCATCAATAATCTAAAACAGTCAATTGCATGCCATTGATTTATTTACTTTACGATTTACAAACACACAATAATTTGCATGGTTTTGTTTTTTATTTTCATCGCAGAAATGTATTTAAAACTTTTATTTGTGTGTCATAATAGTATACTGGTACCAGAAAAGACCCTTAATAGGAATTTAAACTTAAACTTAATAATATAATTTCTGTTTGAATGCCCTAATTATCATGACGACACTCGACAGCTGTCATACATATATAATAATATTATATATTTTTTCATATTAATATTTGTATTGATGACAGTATACTTTATAATCTTACCTTTCGCTGTAGTGTTTTTTGTTCAGTTTTTTTGAAACCAATTTTTTCGAATAACTCTTTCTGTTTTCGAAAGTAGATGTTAGATTAATATGGAATATATAACTATAATTGTACTTATTATAAATAGTTAATATAAAAAATTACATAATTATTACCTTATTTAAAATAAAATGTATAATTTTTGGTAGACAGTCAATGGTTTTCTAATTTTTTTTTTACTACAGAACACATATTCTGTATTTTTATAGATATATACAAGCGTAAGAATTGACAAACTGCATAATATAACCACTATTGAAGGACAACAAATTAAGATCCTTAATTTTACCTACAATATATATATATATATATATTGTTCTTCTGTAGTAATTTTGGAATAATTGGATGTATGTATACGATGTTCAAGACTTTGAACCGACTCAAAACAATATTCATAAACTTCATTGTAGTATCAAAAATGTACGGTCTATAAAAGTTCCTCTAAATTGGTCAAACTTTGGGTATTTAGTACACAATATACGTAATATATGGAAAATGTTCATGTCATTCTAGAGTCATTCTATAGTCAATTCGGTACACAGTTCCAAATTCCGTCTCAATCTGATTTTCAAAAAATTTCGATAGGGTTCATCCTTGATCTGTACCAAATATAATCCAATTCGTATCATATATGTGACCTGTTTGTGTACAATATTATATGTACCAACAGACGGACGGATATATATATATATATATATATTTCATGTAGTATTTCAGTTTATATATAAATGATATAACGGTTTAAGAAGCTTAACGCTACTTATTATCTCATCTATTCAAAGGAATTTTATATGATATAAAATACATTTGAGCGTTACATATATTTTTATGATGTTGTACAATTGTTAATAATGGTTGTATTTTGGTAATCAATAGTGCGTTTTTTTACTTATTAGTATATGATAGGTTAAATTTGAAAGTGGTTTAGATTCATTTCATACAAATCTTGGTTTTCTAGAAAAGTTTACAAAACATATTACGTTATATATTCGATCGTGTTTAAGGACAGAAAGCTACTATCAAAATTAATACCACTTAACAATATTTTTGAAGCAAATCAAACACAAATCTTAAAATAAACAACTCATATATATTAGTATATATTTTTAAAGTTATTACCTAAGTAGATCAATAATCGTGTTACATTTGTATCCGCCCAAAATTTAGCTCTGCAAATCATTAAAAATTATACTACAGTAGATATCGGATAAAAGCACATCTATGAAAAAATCGCATATAAGAAAGATTATCAAAAACAACAAGCCTTTTTACATCTCACAAGTGTAAAAATTGTTTCATATACGACAAATACGTATATGAAAAACACTGATATAAGAAATGTTTCTCAAACACCATAGCTGACAAAAGTATTAGAAAATGTTTCATATAAGAAAATATGTACGATTGTCGGCCAATTTATTAACATTGAAAATGTTAAAAAAATAAAATACTTTTTAATTGTATTTGAAAGAATATTATTTATATGAATAGAAACATATGCACCTATTTTTAGTCAAACTGTGAACTGATTTTAATTTAATAATTTCATGTTTTTACTTTGTCTAATCATGTTTTTTACTTTGTCTTTAAGTTTGCAAAACCTCGAAATAACCGGGCTTAAAAATTTTTAGCTGCTGCCTATTTTTGTAGTGTAGTATTTGAAATTATCTCGATTTAGCTTAGTTTTTCAACCAAATCAAATTTTTAGACGCTACCATATTTTTGTTAGGGAACTACGTATTTTGAATTGTAGCGTAAAGCGTTGCCATTTTTGTACATTTTGAAGAATTGATAAAATTTTGAATGCAAAAGCAAGGTTGTATTTAAAATGATCTCCTTTTAGATTTTTCTATAGGGTAAAGATGTGATGATTGTGCTGGCCATTATAAAAGCCCAATTTTTTACTCCTGAGGTTGGGATGTTTGTCAAGCTAAAAGATACAAGCGGTATATTTTGTTCAGCGATGGGAACGATAGAGTTTTAAACACATTAGTATAAACATACAAATCAATTACTTCTTAAATCTCGTAAATAAATCGAACTCCATAAAACGAAAAACAGCCCATATTATTATTGACACACCTTCATGCTTCCCAGTACCCTTTCTTAACCCTTTGTGGTTCAATGTTGCCCACAGGCAAGTTTTGAGCTTATATTAAATGCACTGCTAGTATATAAATATATATTTTTGGATTACATATCGCTCATTTGCTGCAAGACCCGTTGTGCCCTGATTTTTTCGCGATCATAGAACAATTTTTTGCAACTAATGCAACTAAATCTGTGAACAGATTTTATTCATATCCTAAATAGGATATGAACAAAATTTGACTTCGCTACATCCTTGCATTCGGGAGATACAGTACGTTCTTCCTGAAAAATAAAAGTCCAATATCAAGAAAACCAAATGCTAAATCGGCGGAAAAATTAAATTAAAAATAATTGTGATGGCAGAATTCGTACAATTCGAATACGCAGCGTTTAATTTTTTTCTTTTGATATGTGTCGTTCATAATTAGGTCTTGAAGTACGAAATCCAAAGAATATGTATCTACTAGCTACATGTTTTAAATATAAGCTCTAAAACATTTTGTTTCCTGTGAGCAACATTGGACCACAAAGGGTTAATGATGCCCGATTGTTCGCTATAATAGGCCTCATGTTGTGTAAAAATATATGAATATTTCTTACACACTCTTATTGAGAAGCTATAGAAGTTCCTCTGTCCCATATAAAGTGTGAGTAAATTGAAAAATTAAAACGCATTTTTGCAAAATCGTTTTTTTTTTTTTGATTTATGCCTGAGCATAATGTTAAGACCTAATTATGATCATATAAAAAGAAAATTCTAAAAAATTAAAATTTTTGATCAACTTATGCGCTTTTCAATATAGTTGAGCGCAAAAAGGTGTGCAGTACTAATTTATGTATACAGTCCAAATTATTTAAATTGCTTCTTATTCGAAATGTATGAAATATATTTTAGTACAGAATATATTTTATCAAAAAATATATCAGTCACAACCGAATGAACAGAGATAAACGCCTATGTTGACCAGGAAAACTTTTTAAAACACAACAGCATTTTTGATGTTCAACTCTGGGACTTTAAATCTGTTGAACATAACAATATTTTTCCAAAAATAATATCTTTTGAATAGAATAATGCCAATTTAATCTATTTTATCCTCAAAGAAAGAAACATTTTACAAAAAACTAAGGGAACTGATGAGAAGCAGTGGCGTGATCCGTAAGTATAGTCTTCCCTGTCCTCGGCAAACAATGCCATACATTCCCCACTAATAAATACACCTAAGTCTGGTTTTACACGGTAGATTGATTCCAGAAGAAGTGAGAAGTGAGTCACCAGCGAGTTTCTCATGCAGGTTATGTCGTTGGTCAGCTAAGTACTTCGCTTTGTTATAAGAGACAATACCGTGATTCAAGAGACATAAAAACCGTGATTCATGGAAAAATTGCATGCAATCAATTTCTATTTTCACACTAAATCTCTTAGATATCTGCCGTATATCTAAGTGTTTTGAATTTAAAAAATTTTAAAAATACTTCCAACGTATGGAGGTCTGATCGAAAAATTTTTACCACAGTTAATGTTTTAATTACGTGACCACCACTGTATATAAATATTTATATATGTATGTGTGTTTTATTAACATTAAATTTTTTTGGATAGACAATAGCAAACCATTTTAACCAATACATTTATGTATTGGTCAATTGTGTAGGGCCTGTCTTGAATTTTTCATAGACAGTAATCCTGGACAATTTATGACATTAAAAAGCAGCAGAATTAACAAATATTTTCAATAAAATATAAGAAGAGGTCCGAAAATGGATTAAACGTTAAAGGAATTAAAAAATTATATAATTTTATTGTTATATAATTAATTTTTTCATTAACGATTTTAGAATTACTTTTCAATTTCCTTCGACTGTCTTGTCGCTTGCAAACGCAGTGTAATAGTTATATATAACAACTAACAAAGGGCCCGCTACTTCGTATGCGGAAAGGAAATACAAAAAATATTTCATATGGTATCGTAAATACTGTAAATTTGTTGTATTATAGTTTGCGATTTAGTACTCTTTATACACATAAGCACTATTTTCCGAAATCTCTCTTACTTCCATTAAACAGATTAAAATCAGTAAGGAAAGTAGTAAAGTACCCCATGCAAAATTTCGTGCAAGTCGAAAGATATATAGGGGCTTTGGTACACCATTTACATTAAATCGGACGAAGTTATATGTGGGAGCTATATCTAAATCGGAACCGATTTTCACGATGTTTAACACACATCGTTCTAAACGTAATTCAGCCCGCTGTGCCTAATTTCGTGTAAATCGAAGTATGGTGCACTATTTTTCAAAAATCGGACTAAAATATATATGGGAACTATATCTAAATTTGAACAGATTTTTCCCAATTTCGTTCTTGGGCCAAATATGTGACGTATGCCAAATTTCATCCAATTTGGATCATAAATATTTTTGAATAATTTAATTTTTTCCATTTTTTCCATTCTTGTTTTAAACTATTTTTTTTTATTTTTTGCTTTGCAAAAATTACATCATGATCTCAGTTTTACTAGCAATTTGGTTCCCCACCATTACATTTTTGTCATATATCAATGTTATCAAGTGATCTTGGTCCTATTGTTGGTAATTCGTCTTATCTTAAGAACAGATTGAGTCCATACAAAAACTATATGACTATCGGCCATCTAAATTGCCAGAGCCGTCGTCCGTCTAATTACAGCGCCACCTTAAGCGAACTTAAAAGACTTTTGTGTAACAGCGGTCTGACTCTCTTTGCTGTTTCTGAAATTTGGTTGAAACCCTATATATCGTCGAAAGCTGTCTCTATACCTGGTTACTCTTTCGTCCGCAATGACCGTCCAAGTGCTAGAGGAGGAGGGGTGGGTATTTACGTTATAAATGGTTTTAAGCACAAGATAGTTTTTCGATCTGATAATCCTGGTGTTTGCGAGTCTATTTTT